GATGGATGGATGGATGGGTGGATGGATGCATGGATGGGTAGCTGGATGCATGGATGGGTAGATGGATGGAAGGGTGGATGGATGGATGGATGGGTAGATGGATGGATGGGTGGATGGATGGATGGATTCATGCATGGATGGATAGATGGATAGAAGCCTCCTGACTGCAGTTCCCACACCTTCTGTGCTATCTCACCCCATTTCCCTCCTATTTTCAACCCTTGCATTCCTCTCCCAATATCCTCTTCCAGGTTCATGGCATCTGGGGTAAGGGCTAGGAAACAAAATTCATCCAGACCCCTGAGCACAGGTGTCAGTTAACAAGAGAGAGAGGCTGGTGCGTTTGGAAGAACAGGCACAGCAGGCATTCACAGGCATAGGAGCTGGGGCCCCTTGTCCTTCCTCCGGGGGTCACTGTAGGTTAGACAAGGGATTTTAAGGAGTAGAGAAGGCAAAAGCTAGGGGTCTGTGCCCTGAGGCCTCTTTTAGGAAACTGTTTTCCCTACACAGTTAATATTTGTAACCATAGCCATAGAACAGATCAAGCTCTGTTTTTGATATTCTCTTCTCACAGCAGTTGTTAACAAAATGGTTTGTCTCCTCCCTTAGGAATACAAAGCCCAGACAGCCTGAAGCTCTTGCACAGCCAACCCAAGGCCATGGTGCACAGCACCCAAGGGTTCTGGGAGATTTTCTGACCACAGGCTAAAGAGAAGCCCTGCTATAGGAAGTAAAGAGGGCAGGCAGCATAAAGAAGGGGTCATGAGTGTAAGAGGACAGGCACCACAAGTGTCAAAAGCCGGGTGCCTGGCTTGTAAAGAAACACCATCCTTGCCGCGCATGTTCTAACAAAGCTTCAAGCCTTCGTTAAGACAGCTTCCCTGAAGAATCTCACCCTTTTCATCACAAAGAAACAATAATCCAGTTAAAAGGCACGGCGTGAGTGCCCCTTAGGACTTGGGTGCTGGTTTGAATGATGATCCCCACCTATTACCAGCTAAGCAACCTCGGAAAAGTCTCCTAATCCCTGTAATCCTTCGTTTCCCTTTATGTCGAATTCGCATAATATTATCTGCCACACAGCACTGTTGTGAGGATCAAATGAGGTCAAATGAGTAAAGTACTTTATACCGTGTGGTAATTAAATACTTTCTTCCAGGGGCTGGGGATTTAGCTCAGCGGCAAAAGCGCCTGCCTGGCAAGCGCAAGGTCGTGAGTTCGGTTCCCGGTACCGGAGAAAAACCAAAAAA